GGGACGTTCATCGAAAATATCGGTAGCACATAGATGGGGACCGTATTGTTTGGCGACCTCAGGCCATCGCATAAGCTCGTGCACTGTGAACAGTTTAAGCAATGACGCATCAACGGGAATCTGAGAGTTCCGGGTATCGCGATAGATGCGATGGAGTAGATCATGCTGTTCGTTGTCGTGGGGAGCAAGTATGACGAAGTAGATGATGCGTTGCAGGACCTAGTCATCGTCAGCGACACAGAATAGTCTATAAAATGACAACAGACTTACAGGTTTCAGTTTTGCAGGATCTTCTTCGACGGCTTCGGTATCCAGGACTTGTCTGTAATGTTTGCAAACGTCGAGGTACTTGTCGTCGTGTTTTGCCAAGGTGATCTGCTGCTCGTAGTAGGCCAGCTTCAGGTCGGTAGTGTCATCCTCCTGTTCAGGGGGTACCTCCTCTCCGCGTTTCAGCTTCTCTTCCCGAGCCTTCTTCTCCTTCTCTATCTGCTCCGGCGTCTTCTTGGGCTTCCGCGCTAGATATCTGGTGCTGATCTTGCGGCTGAGGATACCAGCCTGTGTCCAATCGCCGTTCTCAATGCACAAGGCGACTTGGGCGAGTATGAAATCGGTCTTCTCACGTCTCTCCATCGATCCGAAGGTTTCCACTTGCAACTCGCAGAGAATGTCCATGGCCGACTTGAGGTCACCTTGTTGTTTCTTGATGTCCGACAGGATCTTAGTCACGCGAGCTCGCTCAACCTCGACGAATATCTTGCCTTCTGTAACGGTGCGCAACGTCTCGATGACAGAAAGCTTGGTCTCCAAATTCGGGGTTTCGTCGAGGAAGCTCATGACGGTCTGGACCATCTTGGTAATAGCTTGTTTGAGCTGGCCATGCTTCTTGGAGAGGACCAAGACCTGGTCGTTTAGTAAATTCCAGTTTCCGGCATTTTTGCAGATTGTACATATGGCGACTAGGGTTCGAGATGTGGATGCAAGATCAGACGCCTATAGAGAATCGTGGTTAGTGGATATATGAAGGTCACCGAGGGCCTAGGAGTATAGCTGACCTGTCGGGTTTGCTTCTCGAATACGGTGAGCTTTTCAATGGCAGCTTGGATATCATTCTGCAATAACACATCAGCAATGAATATATAGAGTGCGATATTGAGAATGGCGCACCTTGGCCAGCTTCTCCGCTTCGCTGATTTGTACATCAGCTTCTTTGCTGAAGTCCTTCTCGGGCTTCAGAGATGCGTCCGCCATGGTTCCTAGACTCTCGCGTCGATGTGAAATCTAAACAGGTAAAGGCGCAGATTGTCCAGGGACGTCAACGGGATACCGGTCTCTGGCGTATTTGGTTTGGTAGGAAGAGATTAGTGTGGTAGTTGGAAGTTGGAAGACGGAAGACGGAGATTATGGCGATGGAAGGAAGCTAGGATGCGTTGATGCGAGGCAACGAAAGCTCACGCCTGCCTTGCAACGTCCAATTGACTGGCCCAAGCGCCGAGCTTGGTCAGCCAGATAAGATCGAGTCACATGTAGATAAGAGCTATGCCCCATCATCATTATTTTGCATGCCAGATTTATACACCTTCATAAAGTCCGCGAATATTTATGTACCTACTGGTATGTTCACCCTGATGATAACCAGCACTCTCTACTCTGAGGAATCGTAATGAAACATCCAGCCAGTGTAACGAGCTCTTTCTATTTTCTCAAGCTCAACTCAAGACCTAGCCTTCCCCAAAACCTAGCTAGCCCGAAAACTGAAACGAATCCTCCAGTTCTCATAGAATGGCCATGGCGTTTGCCGTGGTCGATATTCCCCCTGTATTTGCGTCAGCCCATGGAACATGTCAATCCGTCCAGTTATTTCAAGTACCTTTCACATGATTCGGAGTACTTGCGAGGAAGAACGTCCATTTCTTCCTCTCGGCACACTTATCTGCAAGTTTCTCAAGATCCCAAAGCTCGCCGATAGGACAACCCCAAAGTGCAAGCAGTTTCTCGTGAAGGTAGTAGTCTATCGTGGGGTAAGGTATGTCAACATTAATCCACCACTCTAAGCTCAACGCAGAGAGGATTTGAGCATACCTTTATTAGATGGCCATGCTTCGAATGCTGGCTGGTCGCCAGCAACTGCCGCAAAGTAAGAGTCATGCAAGAAGTCAAGTATCTCCTCACTTTGCTCTACCCCAATGTAGCGCTGCCCATCATCAGGTCCAAACCGATGGGGTTGAAGGTGTCGCGCCGCCTTCTGCTCATAAGTAAGCGAAGCTGAGTTCTTCAGGAAGCCAGATCTGATTAGCAGTATGTCGCCAATCTGTATGTCACCTCCTTGTCTTTCGGGCCTCAGATCGATTCCCTGCATCTGTGCCGTGCTGACAAGATCGCTATGGCTGATCTTGAAGTTATCGTAGAACTGGGGTTTAATATTGTTGATCTCGGCATATCGAGCGTAGTCCAGAAGGAGACCTCTGCCAGCTATGCCGCGACTAGCCCACGCGTGTATGCCACATTTAGTTGAAGCATTGGGACCAGATATATCTTCTGGGGTTGTCTACATGATACAGCCATGTGTGTAAGTAATTTTCAAATATTGTGTATACTCTTTGCAATAGACTTACTTTGTTATAGAAGTATCCCGAGGGAACATGGGCAAACTACCTCGGGTTAATCATCAACTGAATGGGACACCGGCTATAACACGGGCTCACATGACGAAATCCGTCCCATTGCGAAGTGCTCTGAGGGTTCATTTCATACGTATCGTCGAACGCATACGTAGCCGGCGTAGATCCCAAGGGAGCGATATGGTGCTTGAAAACAGCTCGACCGTAACACGGAGGTTCCGGTTGATCAAACGGAAGACTAGTTTACGAATCAGTCGGATCTTTCTACTTGCTATGAACTCAACTCGGCCACGAGTATTATAAACATATTTCTACTGACCCGAGAGGAATAATCTCTCCAGAGGAGACAGTGTCCAACGCTTTCTTGATCCTCTCCGGCGTTTGTAAATTTAGCCTTCCCAACTTTGGACGTTGTCAGTAAACCGAGCACGGATCTATTTCAAACCTAAAACAGAAATTAACGAACCTCATCGTTGCTACCCCATATCCAGGCCGAATCTTCAGGCTCGTCGGATTTAGGCCGCAGGTCTTTTCTCAGTGGAAGCTCCATATTGAGTTTTGGCGGTGGCTTTTTTAGTACAACAGTAAGCATATAGTAGGAACAATGAGAACAGCACAATTAGGGCAGGACAAAATCCATCGCAATAGAAGTGACATTATAGTAGCGGCGGGGGAATATGAATACCTCGGTTTTGGAGTAGTTTACTTACTAACGGGTATGCGCTGATCCACCTATCATCATTCACAATAAGAGGTTTCCCCTCATGAGGTAATCAAAACATACGACCGGCAGATCCATATTAGTTATATGACGTTTAGATGCACTTGATGTATAGAAGTCATAGTACTTTGCAGATCTCGAAGGCTACTGGCGGAGTACGTAGAGAAATCGGTTTGTCTCAATGGTAGATGATTCTACAAGGGCATCTATCTCCTAGCTTCGGGAAACTTTCTATCGGTCAATAATCAAAGGAACCATTGGTTTATTTACTGAGATACGAGGACATGACAATTCTTGTTTAATAGAGGCTATTGGAGATAAGGCTATTCTTCGCGTAGACCTTGTCTGTCAGGAGACTGGCTTGTCTGAGCTTCGATCCGAGGTAGTCTCTGTGTTAGAAGTCTGGGTCAATTCAGCAGACGGGAACCGAAACAGTGTAAAAAGGGTCGTTGACTATGTTTACGCCGCAAGTACGCAAGGCAGGTTTAGGTTTCTTCGCACATCAACGATATCATCACTACTTTGCGAGAACCGCATGGTGGCACATGGCGAATTCCAGAAGAATCGAAATCCGCCGGGCATAGTTCAGTTTGAGCCTTGATTCCGAATTTCTCAGCAGCTCTTGTTCGAATAGGAGGGCATGCGAGTCTCAGTGGTTACGTCCCTCCATCTACGTATACAGAAAGTATTATAATGAAACAAGTGGCTCTGTGAAGCTAATAGTACTTCAGGTGCATCCCCCTTTACAATAGGATACATCCTCATCTGATAGCAAGAGGGTGTCCTAATCCCCTAGCTCGAGAACACAGGGATATGTCATGAGCCCGGAAGTTGCATACCTAGGTACTTTTTAACTCCCCTAACTCACGGGTGTCTCCGTCTCCGATTAGACAATAGAGTATCACTGCCACTGAGTAGCCCTGCAGTCTCATCTGGAGGATTACCAGAGAATCACCCTATCGATCTTTTTGGGAGTTGGAGAAATGTCATCTCGGTGATTAGAAATAAGAAATCGACATCATGTTCATGTTAGTTGACCATGGAGTAGAATCTTTTCACGACTTCAGCACGACATAACAATCCAAACTACAACCCTAAAATAGACCATATCTACATCAACTAAGCTATAATATAAGATATGAACGAAGTAATTAACTGCTATTCTGTGGCTGTGAAATCAAACCTCGAGAACTGTGGTACGTGAAAAGAGTTCATACGGAACTATTCAACCTGGAGTTGAAGGCGATCTGCAAACACAATCTAATATCCAAGCAGCATACTGCTCGTACTCATGACGTCCAAGGCATTCTCTCGCGCCAAGTCACGTAAAAGCAGCGCCTATAGTCACTATACCTTATGTTCATGTTGAAGTTTGACGCTTAGGTTGGACTCAGCCTCCTGCTGACTCAATATCCCTCTTATAGCAAAGCACCTCATGTACCTTCGCTTGAACTTCAGCGTTCTCTGCCGGATCTGTCACTTCCACCATAATGTAGCTAATTGTAGCTACTCCACACTTTGTCTAACCGTACCCCTAAGTTACATGCACTCAAAGGCTGTGGGTCAGGCGCTAGCAAAACCAGCCCATAACCTATAGGCTAACCTTACCGCCACAAATTTTCATCCCACGAGTGGCCTTAGCCAGGCATACCGTTGCGAAATCCGAATTGGTGTAGTGGCTAACATTTGACGCTCTCAAGATATTGCGATCCGTCAAGCCCGGGGTTCGATTCCCCGATTCGGAGTTCATTATATTTTCCCCTATTTATTTTATGTCACCTTGAAGGCATTTGACATTGATGGGTCTTGCATTTTTGCTTTCCATATGATAACCCATAATCAAAGTAATAAGCGCTTTGGAACACTTTTACTATGGTTCCATCCTTTTGGCAGTATCTACATTGACAACTAACATGTTATTCGAATCAAATAGGAACATCTTTAAACCCTAAGTTTTATCGTGAACGGCTTAGGTTACTTGCAACTCGTAGTCTTCTTTTGTCTCACTATATATATGTTTACTGACTCCTATAAGTAGTCTCATATTCTAAAATATCTAAACAGAAGCCATTACTTACCTAGGCCAGTTGCGTAGAAGCCAAATATATAACACATAACATCCTACCACCAAGGATAAGGCAGTCAATCTCTATCAACAGTCACCAAGGGCAACATTCTATCAACTATTTCCATGAGCGAGCGTCACAAGACACGCAAGAACAGTAATCACAGCTCTTGAGTTGTTGTCCCACCGATGAACAGCAAATAAAAATCTACCACCGTGTTGCATCCCCCTCGCACCTCTCCTATTCCCACCTAGCGCACCCTAGATCGTAGACAATGCCTTCCGGAAGGTTCTATCGTGGCCACACAGCCCAGGCCTCTGAGTCGTACAACTATAAGTACCTACCTAAAGCTCCCCACCAAAATGAAAAGCCACAAGACAAGTTGTCCAGAGACACAGCCCGTTGCTTTAAGGTACCTGGGCCTTCGTGACAGGTGTAATGCCGGCTCTGTTGTCAATATCAACATGCTCGCACGGGCTTTCATAGCTCTCTGTCTAACGATGACAACCTAGGTTGCTCCTGCGCACAATTCCGTGGGGAGGGCACTCGACTGGACACAGGACAGTTTTCCTTGTCTTGAGCATAGTCCACCATGCACTTCCCTCTGTGCACACGCCAGCATGCATTTCCAACGAACAATAGCTTTGAACCTGAACCATGCTGTACCTAGGTAAGGTATCTAAGTCAGAAATCACCAACTGTAGTACCCTAAATGTAAGCCCAAAACATGACAAAACAAGGGCGTGGGCAACAACTGTCCATGGCCAACCTAGCACGGGGACACAGAAGAGGTCCTTCCGCAGGGAGCCCCAAATCTATTTATCTGGGGTGGTCGTACATATGCACGGGACTCTCCTTTGCCCTGGCGGCCCTAGGCTGAACTCCCTAGTGTCATCCGAAGAGTCAATTCTCCCACAACGACGACGAGGATGACAAGTCAAAATAGCACTGTTGCAGCGCACAACAGAGGCATTGTGATACCTTAATAACAATGACCTGTAAGAAGCGGGCCTTCCCACGTCCTCCACCTGACATCAAGCGGCAACGGCACACTCATCCGGACCCGCCTGTAAAATTCGACATTGCAGCAGATGGTCCTGCTGCACCCGTCAATTTCTCAAACCCTCCGAACATGCATCAAACAACCAACCACACACCAAAACGGCCAACGCGACCACACCAACCTACAGCCTCCCACCGGCCCAACATGCCGTCAAGGAAGCAAAGCAAACCGGTCCCAATCCCCGAGTCCGAGTTCACAGGGGTCTACTACTCCTAGAGGGAGCAGTTTCTGAAGGAACTCGACTCCAAGGCCGCAACCTGCGCAGCTGCCTGCAGCAACAAGATCAGTACGACGTCATCCGCGCAGCATGACTCTACCCCCGCCCTCGACCCTCTGGTCATCAATCCTGGTCGCGACCGCTCCAACGAGGAGCGTATTCGGATGAAGCTCGAACTAGATTGGGCGGTTAGCTACGATCCACCTCTCTCCCCTGCTCGTGCCCAAGCTGGCGCCCGCATGATCGGCAGCACAGTGTTCCATTCGCCGTATTTCTCTTCTGCCTCTGATGCTACGGCGTGGGCTGATTCTGCGGGATGGCCCTGGCGCGAAGGGGAGTGTAGACAGCGGAACAAGTGGCAGGAGGAGCCGCAGATGGAAGAGGAAGGATTCGAAGAGAACACCTCCTCTCCCGCGCCCACCATGTTGCCCTCCCGTGAATGCGGACGAGATCTCGAGAAAGGCGAAAGGGAAGAGCAGTGTGAAGGGAGCAAAAAGCCCGAATTCACCCAGGCCGCACACCATCGAAAGCCCTGCCTAAGCTACAGCGACGTCGTACAACGTCCTTAGGATATTCACCGGGTCAGCCTAGAGCTCAGGGGGCTGTCGTAGGGGAGAGCCGCCGGGGTATTTGCTCCGCTCGCATATTTTCGGTTCCCCCAGTGCGCCTAGAATACTGCTAAGAGAAGATGAAGGGATATGGCCAGCTAGAGCGTGGCATGTGGGGTTGCTAATCTTGCTGATGGGGTCTCGCCGGCCACATTTCGTGTATGCTTTGCGGTACCAGAACGAGCTACGCGATAGTTAGTCGAATATGCCACGGTGTTTCTTCCCCATCTCATGCGCCTGTTCCTTCGTGGGCAAGTCTCCATAGAGAACTGGACTAGTCTAATCAAGAATACCGAAGAATACGGAGTATCATAGTATCATAGGATGAAAGTCCATCCTCTAATTCACGTGGAAAGTAGCGGGAGCCCCGTACGTAATTGCCATGGTAAGCTTAATAGTTATTAGTAATAGAGTAGTTGTAAATGCAGACTCTCTGACAAGTTGCTCCAGGGCGGCCTAGTACGGAAACCTTGAAGTCGAAACAACGTTTCATCGAGGAATGAGCCAGACAGAGCCCTGACAGAAGCTTGGAAGGAGACAGCTGTGTGGGGGTGATACAGACCCGAGACAGCACCAGCCGCGGTACTTACGAGTTTCGCCTCTTGATAGAGGCAAACATAACACGTATTGTGCAGTAATAATCCTGAATAGTCCTGTTTCCATTCTAGTACAGGACAGCTGTCATTTGACTTGAAATGATTGTCCCACGACGCAGGTATGTCCTATAATAATTGGAACAGGCGTCGTTGATGACGATACTCGTCCTGTTACTGACGGATATGCTACAGTTGCTCCGAAGTCCGAGCCATCATAAGGCTGCTATGGTCATGGGTACTACGACGTAAGCATACCCAATAGTGGCTGGTGTCATAAAAATTGCTCGTATCAGGCCGGCCTTGCTGACGAATCATGCATAGCTGTTCTCCGTCGTAATACGATAGTTTCGTGTCTGAGACGTTGCGAGCAGTGGGTGTCGTAGTGGCGAAGAAAGCCTGCTTTTTCCTATGTAGGTACTGTAGGGAGAAGAATGAGGTTATCATTGAATCAAACAAATGGGTCATGTGACACTGGAGTAGTCGTCAGCCACCTTTATACAACGGGACGAAGGCTGTGCATTACAAATGGTTGATGCGAGAATCGTGGCGAATGTTCCCGAAATGGTTCCCGAAACAGTAATGGGCGGATTAGCGGGCAAGGGTGAGCTCCGAGCGGACACTGGCGGGTTTAACTTGAGGCTGCTGTCAGCTGCGGATCGTCCGTTACTCAATGACCAGGACGCCATCCGCATAGAGATATGATCATCATTGAGGAACAGTCGTCGTCCGACAAACCGGCGAAATACGATATACAATACATAACGTACCTCATGTCAGAATTTTGGCCTGCCCGCCAGAGGCCCGAGCGGGAAACGACCAAAGTGAACGTATAATTTTCTGAGCCGCGGATCACCAGCGTTCCGCACCGGCGGATAGACTGGTAGCCGTGCTTCAAGCCATCGTGGCGAACCGACTTACCTGCATTGGTGACCTATGTATCATTTGAAAGATAACGGGAATGAACAGAAACAAGGTCCGCCTTGCCTTGATCTCGCAGTCTCCGTGGTTAGGCTCCCTAGGCAGCTGCTAGGTACGTATCCAGCGCGGCATTAGTGTCAGTTTGGATCGTCAAGGTTCGCGGTTTAGCGATCTACCAAAAATTCCCTAAAGCCCTAGACGTTCAAGATCGCGTGCGGAAATTTTGCCAATAGTGTGTCTAGGAGCATTATCCGAAGCCCTAAAGGGTATTAACGTGTGTGGGACCCTCCACATTTATACTCACCGACCGACACGGGGGCCGAGAGGCGGGATAACCTTTCAGAGACGCCAACATTACATACCACCCAAATCCGCCGAGGAGAGGGTACCTAAGTACCATGGTAAAGGCGCCATGTGCCATGTAACTGATGACGGAATAAGTAGCTAACCTTAGTGTAGGCCAGACAAGAAACGCACACAATGTAGCATCTCAACCAGAACAAATCTCGATGGTCTCGGTCATGACCACCTAAGGCACTTATGGTCATAAACTCGGGACTCAGTAAACATGGGCATTTCGTCATTTCGTTCGATGCTGGCGATGCGGTACGAAGGCGGAAGAGATATCTCATTTCCGAGAATTGTGGAAGACAAGTTGCGGGCCAACAGTGGACGAGATCGCAATGTCCTTTAGCGAGGTATCTATATGAGCGGGTGAAATGCTCCTAGCTTGGCGTTGCCCCGGCCGGTTCGAGCCGCTGTTCGACTTGGTATTGAGTAGCCCGCCCCGGCCGTTTGGGTACGGCGGACATGCGGGCTAGAGACCTTACGGTTGCAGTCGGCGGGATGGTTGGGCACGAAGTTTGACTCCTGCGTCTCAGGTTGCGATAGGATGATGGGCAAAGCGAGAACATGTAACCTAGTGTGGATAAAAAGTATTACGCACATACAAGAGGAGTATGTACCGTTATAGTATGCATGTCCCTGGTGCGAATCGTGGGGAGGAGGTGGGAACATGCCGAGGGGGGCCCATATGAAAATAGACGCGGAGTGGGGGATTTTGATCGTTCTCGAAACACAGATACCCTTTTATTTCCCTTCTCTGATTCCCATGCGAGAAGGGTCCCAGAGGAGAATTGGCTTAGTTTTTATAAGATGCTGCAAACTAATTTGAGCCACAGGCGCCATTGTGTCGGTACTGGTGATCAAATAGGACATGTCTCTTAGTAGGCGCATAACAGACGCAACATGTCGGGTCTCTGCCTCTTTGCGGACGC